GGGGGGGGTTTTGTTCTTCTTTCTTTTCTCTTTTTTTTTTCTTTTCGCTTTTTTTTTTTTTTTGTTAAAGGAAACCAGCCTGTTTGTGCTGTGTTTTCTATCTGCTCGGCGTTCATGGTGTTTTAACGACTCTTTTTGCTCACATGTGCGTCGCCATGCCATTCGGCTAAAGTAACCCCCACCCCCGGGCTTCTGCTTAGCATTTAAAAAGCAAAGAAACAGCACGGTGTTTTTGGAGCACACCATCGCCAGCGCTCAGCCGCACGTGGGTCCTTGGGGTTGAGGCTTTCTGTAAAAAGCGCAAAGTTTTCAACCAACTTAGCTGAAGTTTGAGGTCTGGCGAGCTTTGCATCTGTAGGCAGGAGCAATTTCTGGACCGGTTCAGAGTAGTAGAAAATGTCATAAAAGGAAACTTTGCTGCTGGTTTGTCAGACTCGAGAACTTGCGGAGTTTGACCATTTTTTGTTTTTTCCCCTTCCTCTCTGTAGAAAAAGAGCAACAGGAAGCAATTGAACATATTGATGAAGTACAGAATGAAATAGACAGGTAAACCGGGAGAGACTGTTTTATTGTTTGTTTCTAACTGATGCTGTAGTAGAAATCAGCCTGTAACTTGTAATAAAAAATACTGTAGTTACTAAAGTGCCTTAATTCAATGGTATACCTGTGGTTTTACTTTATGTAGAAATAAAAAAATTGTGCGTATATAACCTGAAAAATTGTAAGGATACTGTGTTGTCCTGCTCAACTCATGTACAGTTAAACTAGAGTGACCTGATGCTAAACTTGAGTTTGAAAACTTTTCAACCCATTTTAATGACTTTTATGTGCTTATTTGGCCCCCTCTACCATTGCAAAGTAATACTTTTCTCTTTTTTATGGAAGTGGTTGGATTGTGGTAAAGAGCAGAACCGAAAACTGAGTGGATAAATTTGTTATAATTTTATGAAAAGTTGTTATCGCAAGCTAGAGGCACTTGTGTGATCAGGAAAAAACATTCTTTTAAAGAACGACATTGGGGCAGCATGCGCTCATCTGAGACAGCAGCAGGCTCACGGATCACTTAACACCCGATCCTGGGAGCTGCCCTGGGCTGGACACCTCACTGTCCCGTTAGTGAAGCTCCAAGTGGATGGAGAGTTCTGCCCAAGCAGAGCACTTGCAGAATCAGGGCCCACCTTTGTAATTAATTATATTTGAGAGACCTGTAATTCCTTAATGGGTTATGTTTGTGGTACATTCCTTGCGCTAACAAAAAAAAAAAAAATCCCATGAAAGAAAGATACTGAGTTTGAATTTGATCCATGGTTGCGTGTTGCCCTTTACCATTTCTTATAAACTAAACGTTTAGTATGTTAGCAGCTACTGGTTTAGGATTTAATTCTGTAAATAATGCTGCAAAGCATAGTGTTAAATTTCTGAATAGTTTTATTGAAGTCAGTAGGATTAGTTATGGTATACTACTTGTGGGAGTGGGCTGTTCGTTTGGTAATATAGCCCTGCTTGAGGGATATCAAAGTCAAGTTGACAAAGTTTTGTGCTACTGCGATTTGCGCAACTCCTTTAAACTCAAGGTTCCTAACCTATGCTTTGGGGTTGACACAACTGTTTTCTTTATTTTAGACTGAATGAACAAGCCAGTGAGGAAATTTTGAAAGTAGAACAGAAATACAATAAACTCCGCCAGCCATTCTTCCAGAAGAGGTCAGAATTGATCGCCAAAATCCCAAACTTCTGGGTAACAACATTCGTCAATCACCCACAAGGTATGTTTTTAGTATTGTTTGAAAAACATTTTTAAAAACAAAACAAAACCAAAAAACACAAACAAACCTTGAAGTCTGACACTGTCTTCTCTGGTGCTTTGATTGAGGAAAATTTCTTTTTAGATTTTTATTTGCCCAATATAAGTTTTTCAGTACATGTTTTTTCTAGGACTTCCTTCTAGTGGTACTATATATAAAATATAAATAGTTTAGCTATTTCCACTTGTTTTGTCCCAAATATTTCTTCTCCCTTTCACCCTAACACAAATTTGAACTGTGTTTTTAGGGTTCTGTATTATTTCTTACTGTTCTTTGCAAAGAAGCAACTACACCTTTTTAAAGCTTTTCAGGCCTCTTTCTGGTAGGCTGTGGTAGATAGTAGTACTCTCTAATGACATCTCTGATTCCTGTGAGGCTTGTCTATTTCCTCTCAAGTTAGTGTGGGACAAGTAGAATATTTGGTATTACTTTCTATATCTATTTTCAGTGACCATTTTTATATGCTTTGCAGCCAAATAACATGTATGCAAATCTTCATAATGTAACTTCTGTTGTAGTTTCTGCACTGTTGGGGGAAGAAGATGAGGAAGCACTGCATTATTTGACCAGAGTGGAGGTGACAGAGTTTGAAGACATCAAATCAGGTTACAGAATAGATTTTGTAAGTATTTTGTATGTTATTTTATTTACTGTTACATTGTTCTTATTTGAAAGCAATCTGTATGGTGGCTTCTTAGTCAATATTTTAAAAGTCATAATACTTGATATCTTTCAACTGGCAGATATTGTCTAATCTAAGAATATTTCATCATAATCTAATGCTTTCCATTCTACAGTATTTTGATGAGAATCCATATTTTGAAAATAAAGTTCTCTCCAAAGAGTTTCACCTGAACGAGAGTGGTGATCCGTCTTCAAAATCAACTGAGATCAAGTGGAAATCTGGGAAAGTATGTATCTATGCACTTGAAAATTTGAATTTGCCCCGTTGCAATCTTGCTGTTCTGAAGTTGCAGGCGATGGTGTATTCTAGGCAAATATATGGGCTTAACTAAGTGAGAGCTTAAAGTGTAGAACTAGATCAGGTGGCAGAGAGAGATCCAGATTTAGCACTGGACAGCCATCTGCTTTCCAGTCTTGGACATTGCAAGATGTTACAAAGGAGTCTCAAAAGCAAGATGATGGCCTTGTAACCTCCGGTACATTTTTAACCAGTGAATGTGACAGTCATTTGAAAATTGTCGTGTATTCTCTGTTTTACTTACTGCAAGGGAGACGCTAGAAATTTAAAAGGGAAAGCTCTAAGGATAGGACTAAAGAGACTTAAACTTTGCTTACTTCGGAGAAAACGTAGAAGAGTTTAAAGACAATGTCATAAAGGTCTAGAGGTTGCTTCAGTGCTTCTTAAATTACATGTGTTAAAGCTTTAGCATTTAAATAGTTCTAACAAGGCTTTGAAGCACTTCACAAAGTGGCTTGTCACACCTTTGCTGTGTAGGTAGTAATATTTTAATACAGGCCAACAGCTTCTTTTGAATTGTGAACTTCTTGGTGAAAAAGTCTTGAGACCGATTAAAAAAAAAAGAACGCGGGTTTTATGCTACCACTGGCCCTATTTATGGGAAGTTTTTGTTTAAAAAAAAAAAAAAAAAGCCATGTGTTATCAACTACTATATGCCCTCACAGTTCTGTATAATCTGTCTTCTACACACCTCTTCTTGACAGAGGGAATGAGGAGTTTGTTGTGGTATCCAGGTGCTCTTAAGAGAATGGTCACATAAAACTTTCTTTCAGGAAAACTGATCATTTAACTTCTTGCCCCCACCTCAGGATCTGACAAAGCGTTCAAGCCAGACACAGAACAAGGCCAGTAGGAAGAGGCAGCATGAAGAACCAGAAAGTTTCTTCACTTGGTTCACTGACCACTCCGATGCTGGTGCTGATGAATTAGGGGAGGTCATCAAGGATGACATCTGGCCAAATCCATTACAGTACTACTTGGTAAGTGCAAAGATGAGATATTAATACTTATTTGCAGCAATGTTCTTGTGTTGGGTCAATTTGATCAGTTTAGTAACTGCTGTACGCATGCCTTTTAATAAAGGTTCCTGATATGGATGATGAAGAAGGGGAAGGAGAGGAGGATGATGACGATGATGAAGAGGAGGAAGGATTGGAGGACATTGATGAAGAAGGAGATGAAGATGAGGGGGAGGAAGATGAAGATGATGATGAGGGAGAAGAAGGGGAGGTAAGAAAGAGGTTTTTTCCTTCATGTTTATAAGCCGCTTGATGGGTTGAATTGGGAAGTCTTACTTTTAAGAGGATCTTGTTCGTAATGTCAAAAAGAATTTGCCACTTTGTACAGTTGAACATTATCAAACTTCTTGGAGGAAGCATGTGAAGGCAGCGATTGCTCTGAAGAGTTTCAGTGCAGTTAGGGCAGGGGTGGGCCATTATTTTGGGTGGAGGGCTGCTTACTAAGTTTTGGCAAGCCATCAAGGGCCGCATGACAGGCAGCCAGGGGCAGCTAAATATTAATTTTCTACATTTTTTTAGGGGCCCCGCAGGCTGGATAGAATGGCCTGGTGGGCCGCATTTTGCCCACCCCTGAGTTAGGGGGTGACTGCAGTGCTTCAGTTGAAGGGGAGTAGCTTTAGGAAAGTAGCTAGGAAATATGAGGAAAAGTCATGTGTTTGAGATGAATGTCTGCTTTTTACTGGTATTTTTCACCTTTATTTCTATAAACTGGGTTTTTTTGGTACATTCAGTTGTCACCCTTCCACCTATTAATAGTTTTATTCTGGATTATCTCCAGGGCATCTTGCATTCCAAGTAATTGGGCATACTTCTCTAATGTAATAGCTTTTGTTTAGCCTTTTTTAGTGGCTTTTATACGAGTTATGTTAGACTAATGCAGGGAAAAGTTTTGGACACTGCACTCTGTGCATTTAATGCAAGTATGTGTTTGACCGTGGCTTTTTTGAGCAAAGTTCATGCCAGTATCTGAAAGATAAAGACTTTTACTCTTGATAATTCAGTTTTTGAAATTAGTATGATAGGATTTTTATTGTATTTTTTAATGAAGATGCCTATTGGCTCTAGATGCTTTTTGCCACTTCTTCAAAGTTTAGTAACAACTAAACTAGCTCCATCACTTATCTGAATTAGATATTGTAGTAGTGAGAGAGATGCTGGAACCCCGCCCCCTTCCCACCAACCTACCAGTTTCCTTATTAAGGGAGGAGAGGCAAGCCTTAAACATGTCCTGAAGGAATTACAAGACTATAATTTGTAGAGTAGCAAGAGGTGCTGGTGATTGATGTAGTGAATAGGATTTAACTGTTGCTTTTCTCCTAACAGGAGGATGAAGGAGAAGATGACTAACTGAACACTGATGGATTCCAACCCTCCCCCCTTTTTACCTTTTTAATTTTTTCTCCAGTCCCTGGGAGCAAGTTGCTGTCTTTTTTTTCTTGTGCTCAGTCGCCTTGTTCTCTTGAGGTCTCTTTTTCTCTCCTCTACACCATGGTTCACAATTTATTTTGGGGGAAATACTTTGAGCAGAATACAGTGGGAAAAAATCTCTACCAGTTTCTGTTCCGAGTTCATTTTTATCCCCTTCTGTCTCAAAACAAAAACTGTTTATGGAATCAACACACCATGTTCTGTGGGAAAAAAGAAAACCTTCTGCTCCCTTCACTCTGCTGGAAGCTGAAGAGTGCTAGGCCCCTGTGTAGTAGTGCATAGAATCTAGCTTTTTTCCTTCTTTCTCTGTATATTGGGCTCAGAGATTACACTGTGTCTCTATGTGAATATGGACAGTTAGCATTTACCAACATGTATCTGTCTACTTTCTCTTGTTTAAAAAAATGAAAAAAAAAAAAAAAATGGGGTTATAGAGGGTCAGCAAGGGTGGGTTTCAGATGTTTGGGTGGGTTAAGTGGGCATTTTGACAACATGGCTTATTCTCCTTTGGCATGTTTAATTGTGATGTTTAACAAACATCCTTGCAGTTTAAGATGACACTTTTAAAATAAAATCTTCTCCTAATGATGACTTTGAGCCCTGCCACTTGATGGAGAATCAGCAGAACCTGTAGGATCCTATTTGAAATTGACATTCTCTATTGTAATTTTGTTCTTGTTTATTTTTAAAATCTTCTTTTTTTTTTTTTTTTTGTTTCACTGGAAAGGAAAGAAAGATGCTCAGTTTTAAACGTTAAAGTGTACAAGTTGCTTTGTTACAATAAAACTAAATGTGTACACAAAGGGACTGATGGTCTTCACTGAACAGAACATGCTTTTGATTCCCTAGCTTGTTTTCTTGTATCTTGGCAAACTTTTGTCTATAGTTTTCAAACTTGACCGCCTTTATTATGTGCTTATTTCTTCTGTATTACAAAGCAACCTGTAGCTCTGTAAATTGAACCTCAATTTCAATAATTTGAAATAATGTTCCATCATTTCCATATCTGGAAAGAGTATTTAATGTAGGTACATTTTATTATAAGTTATCTGATATTATCAACATACAATATTAATTGGCAGTAATTACTGTGATCTATGCATTCAATTTCTGTTGAATTACCTGAATATCCAAGTGAAAATGAAATGTGGTTACTTTCCTCTTATGTGAAAATAATGGATTTGTTAATTTAAATTTCTTTCACCAGAAGAAAAGTATCTGATCCTTCGTATATCAACAGTTTTACTTAAGCATTTCCACTGGTATGAATAAGATACCATGTCCTCTCCAGTAGCTCTGTTCAATGAAAAAACTCTGCAAACCAGTATTAACAAGTACTAAAATGACCACAAGATTTGAGAGTCTTCATTGTAGGATTTTTTTATTTATAATCTTTTGGGTAAATAGCTTTCTCAGTTGAGATGTAAGCCGACTTTGATTTAGTTATACTTATCCTATTTGAAATGGAATAAAATCACTCTGTAAGAGTTTCTTTGCTGAATTACATTCCTATACAATACCTAAGTCGTTGCTTTGCATGTGGAATGTTGATGCCATGCAGCCTCCAGTCTAAAATTGGTGGTGTTTATATTCAAATATGAGCTAATGAAATGCAGCTTGTTCAAGTGAAAATAATAATGTATCTAAAATGTACATCCAGAACTACCCAGACAGAATGGCAAGAGGCATGTTGAAACCCATTTTAGCAATAAGAAGCATTTATACATTGATTTTTAAAGTGTGCAATGCTATATAAACCACTAATTTCAAATTTAAATGAATAGACATTTAAAAGCCTGTAAAGAACACTTTTATTGGTAAATAATTGTATAATTGTCAATCTTCATGTAATAAAAACAGGTTCTCTGGACTGAGGTCCTCTCTGGGAAGAATCTGTCATAGCTAGTCATGGTAGTATCCTGTAGTTAATCAGATGCTAGAGAATTAGTTACAGATCAGTCTCTAGTTACTGCACACGCAGGTTGTGTAGAGAAGTACTCCAAAAGGGTTTTAACCAGTTCTTATTGTTTTCCATAACAGTTGAATTGGATCCTAAATGCTTGTGCTGGTTTTGGACTGATCAAACCAAACATTTTGAATCGGTTTGTTTGGTGCAAACACTGGCCAAGCTACTGCTTTGCATCTTGTCACTTAACCCTGTTGAAAGTGAAATTCGAGTAGGAATGAGTTACCTCCACTTTGCTCTGGGATAAGTGACCAAGTGTGCAGAATGGTAGAGTTGGGCCTTGGGTGTTTACAAGTTAATTACAATTTTTATTTGTTTGTGAAACACAGATTTTAAAATGTGGCTGAGAGAAGCATGGTGCTCTCTCTTCTCTAATGGCTTGCACTAGATAATGCTACATCAAAATGCTATCTAATAAATATGTTTTTGATAAATCCCTAACTTCTCAGCATTATCAGGCATGCTTCTAGTAACTGTCAGAGTACTGAGAGTCTTGCAGGAAGTAAACATTTTATAGACCTAATCCTAAATGATGTTTCTAAAACAGAAATCTTTATGCTGTCAGAGTGGAGGAACTACTTAATTGCCGTGTAAGGCCTATGGAGCTAAGGGACCAAAAATAAGGCCCTGCCAAATCTGTTGTTCACAGCTGATTACTGGGAGTGATGGGTAATCCAATTCCACTTGGAGCCTGTTTTGTTTGTGGGGGGCAGAGTGGGGGAAGGGGCAGTGGGGAAACTTCAGGATTATAACAGTGACAAAATCCTGCCATATTGTGCAGACAATACCGTTTATATGTCCTGGTGTGGCTGCTCATCCCGAGCTTTGAAAAGCTTTACATTGCAATGATAAAAGCAAACATCTTTGGTAATCTTGGGAATCTTTTTATTTCGGTAAATAGTGTCTGTTACGGAAAAAAATGTTTTTTTCTTGTGTGTTGTTTAACTGACTGAAGCAATACTTAAGGTACCCATCCAGTGCTTTAAATTGCCTGCAAGGAATGTATTTGGTCAAAGTTGGTTATTGAGAAATGCCCATTCTTTGACCAATTTATTATGAAAATCTTTGCAATTATCCGCTAAGTTTAATGTGTGACTCAATATGTTTCAAGTGTTAGAAATGTTCCTGCAGCAAGAATGAGACAAGCTACATTTCTCTTCTTGTCAACTTACAAGAATGGCAGAAACTTGTATCTAGTACTACAAGCAAGCTAAAAGATTGCGTGCAGTAAAGTGGTGCAGAACATGTCTCAGTAGCTGGTGTACAAGAGTCTGTATCAATAGTTAACATTCCTTAGGCTGCATTGAGCTCCACACAGTTTAGGAATCCTGCTCCCATGGGAGGTATGGAAGCTGGATTTAGGCTCAAGCATGACAGCTCTCGGGGAGCCTGTCCTGATAAGGGGAATGGTGTAGAGAACCAACATAGATTTCTGCCAGAGTAAAAGATTAGCAAGCTTTTTGAACTGGCATGACTTCAACTAAAGTGGGGAAGAGCTGCTATGCTCTGAAGTAGAAAAGGTGCCCACCACTCCAGTAAGTTGTAGTGCCAAATCATGAGCAAATATGACTGAAGTGTGCACGGGTGGAGGCAGTGACTTCTCCCTGTTGCTATCCAGCATTTTTGTAAGCACCTGTGCCTGAATGGCTGAATGTGTAATCCTTCCTGTGCCTAGTAACCCTGAGCAGTTAGAAGCCAAGATCTCTATCCTTCACCTGGGGCTACCTTTCCCTGTCTTTATTTGAAGGGCAAGCGGTCCCGGTTGGGGCCGCTGCTCAACAAGTGCCTCGCACCAGCCAGTTTACCTGCTCCTCTTCGCCTTCAACGCCACCTCGGTGCTTCTCTGTCGGCTCGCGAGACCGTCCGTAGTGCCAGGCTTTTCCTTCCAGCTGTGCTAACGCCGAGTGAGCGCTCGGGGTGACTGTAGGAAACGGATGGAAAGGGCACTGCCACAGCCAGGTTTCTGTTCAACGTGTATGTGCGGCTCTGCCGGGAGGCCCCTTCGCCCTAGCGTGTACGGGCGAGCTCAACGGGGGCGGGGGGTCGGTTCCTGCTGCCGCCCCACGGGGCCGGGCCGGGTCTCTCCTCTCTTCTCTCCTCTCTCCACCTCGTTTGGTTTGTGCGGGACAGCCCCACAGTGACCGACCGCTCCGCGGGGTTAAGGATCCCGCCGGGGCAGGGCACGAGAGCCCACGGGAGGGCCCGGCTCACCTGCGGCGGAGCGAGCACGTCGGCCCTGCGGGCGGGGTGAGGCGCCTGCGCCGCACGTGCTGCAGGTCACCGCCCGACCGCGGGTTTCGCAGGGGGAGGGTCGGGGTGGAGCCCCGGCCCCGCCCCCGCCCCAGCGTCCCGGGCGGTTTCTTACCTTCCTCGGGGCACGGAGCCCGCCCCGCCCGCAGCGTGCTCGGCCGGCGGGGCGGCACCGCGGGCGGGCGGCAGGGGGCGCTGGTTCCTGCCGCCCGGAGCCGGAGTTTGAAAAGTGCCGGCGGCGGCGGCGGCTCCGCGGGGTGAGGAGAGGAGAGGACGCTGTAGGCGCCATGGCGGGCCCCGGCCCCTGGCAGGTGAGACCCGGGCGGGCCCGCGGGCAGCCCCGGCTGCGTGAGCAAGAGCCCGGCCCCGGGGCGGGGGCTGAGGAGCAGGAGCCGGGGTAGGGGGAGAGCCCCCATGGGGAGACCCGGCTGCCCCCGCGCTGCGGGTTGGCACCGGCCGTCTCGCCGCCACAGGAGCGCGGGGCTGGCCGTCGCGAGGGACGCGGCCACGTCGCTGGGCCCCGGGAGCTGAGAGACTCGCGAGGGTCGGCCGCGCTCCAGGGGATGGGACCGGGCCCTCCCCCGCCAAAACCCGCCTCGGCCCCCAGGGCGCGGGCCCAAGGACGAGGGTCTGCGGGGAAATCCCCTCGCTTTTATGAGACCTGCTCAAACCATTGGAAAAATCCTTCCTAGCGAGCGTTGGGGTGCAAACCCCCTTCGTCCGGCCGAGGAAGTTCGCTCTCTGCCCTGCCCCTGCCCCTTACGCTGGGCAAGGTGGACCCGTCGTCCGTGCCGCTGCGCGCCAAGGGGCTCAGATCCCGAAGGCCAGCAGAAAAGGACAATTTTCTTGTCACTTCCCACTTGGTCCAGTACAAGGTACCGTTTGGGAACCAAGAGCTCTAGTGTTTTGTGTGGCGATTCTTGGGCTCTTACGAGCTGCGTCTGGCTCTGCCGTCCTTTCCCACGGGACGGGAAGGATTTCAGGTCTTTTCAGGCGCTCGAGAACAAATCTGGGAAAAGCTCCAGAGGATCT